CCTTGCATGCAACCACACTGACAATATGAGCAGTATATTTGTTACATATATGGTCCACGCGTTTAAAAGTCACACAATGCATGCAAATGTTAAGACAACTTACTCTAAATCAGAAAATAAAACAAAAAAAGTGCACAAATAATAGGCATAACGTTTTTACAATAACAATACTTTATAATTTCACAAATATGCAACTTTGTAAGGTTTGACTATTGGAGATTTGTGTTAGCGTGTGCTAAATGAGTGCATCCAACTCTCTCTTGCTCCTCTTCCATTGGCAGGTTTAAATCTTCTCCAGTAGTCTAATCTGAATAAATGACTGTCACATATGGCATGTTACATAAATGCGTTCAGAAGTAGATATTGCACAGTGCTTAGATGATCTATGAACACACCAACTGTCTCTCAATATGGAATAATTGACTACAATGCAGAATCTGCGGATGTAATTTGTAATCACTGATTCATGTAATTGATGTACATTTTACAGTAAATATAAATATGAACACTTGAGCCTGAGAGTTTGATATGTTTAAAAAGCACACATTTTTAAATGTCAGTGGAATAATTCTGCTACAGCCATAAGTAAAGGTCATGTTGGACACAAGACTTTCTCTAATGTGGCATCCCTCCAACCAGTCAAATGAAATTTGCTTTGGTAAGATTTTCTAGTCATTTTCAATTAGCACCAACAAAACTGCAAAGCTACATACATTTTTTGAAATGCTTGTGAGGGAAAAATATCAAGAAAACAAGGAAAATAGACTGAGCAGACAGCAGTGAGAGTTCTAGCATGCTATGAAACTACAATAAACATGTCTAATTAGGAGCTCTGATAGTAGCTTTCAACACTAAAGAAACTAAAACGGAAGCCAGATAGTAAGAGCTGTGTGTGTAAACCTCACTCCCCTGATCTCAAGAGGCGCACTAGGGACTGATGCTAAAGATTACAGACGGCGTCCTTGTTAGCGCGTCCGCCTTCCATGCCAGCTACCGGGGTTCGAGGTTCGCACAGAGCGGGGCAAGTAGGACCTGAGGGGGTTACAGACATGCAAATTTAAATGCAGCTTCATCTTAATTATGGCAGAGAAACTTTGGAAATATACCCTATATGGGATGGGCATTTGAAAATTGTGACAACCACTGCTCCACAGAAAATGATCTTATCTCTGTCAGGCTCAAGGGGGTAATCCATCGACCGGAAGTTGAAGCCTCACGGGAGCTGACATCTTGTAGCAGAACTTCACTTGCGTTAGCATTTCCATTGACTCCCATTCATTTTGGCGTCACTTTGACAGCAAATAACTTTACATCTGAGGCGTTTGAAGACCCCATTTGTCCTTTATTTATTTCTAAAGAAACACGACAATGTATAAATAGCTCCATTACCTTGTAGTTGTAGCTTATGTTATGGCCCCGTAGAAGCAGTTTTAGTGAAAGTAGGCTAACGATTGCGTCATACCCACGCGACTCTCTGTCGTACAGTAGAGAGATTACCGTATGGACAGGAGGAGAAGCTCGCGCGCAATCGGGGAAACGTGGAGGCAAAATGACAAAATAATTAATCAGAATACCTAGCAAAATTGTCTCCTTCTTCTAGCTCATGGACAGCTCCTATTCACTCTCTCCGCCTATGCATGTTTCAGAAAGGAATGATTCAGATTTCTCATGCCACAGCACTAGAAGACAGACGGGTCACTCACGTCACATCTACATAGTCAAGCTCTGTTTGAGTCTGCGCGTCAGGGACAGAAGTACTAAAAAATCGCCAAAAACGGGCTTCAATCGTCTCAATGGAGTTCCAATGAGATCGCTCTGTCCATTTCTTTTACCGTCTATGGTCAGGCTGAGGATCTTCAGGTCCAAGTAACATATAACAATAACCCAATAAGCCCAATAACATTTACATTCCCTCTTACTTTTAGGCCGTTTAGGAACAAAGTCTGCAATATGCCTTTTAAAAGGTTTAATTCATAGTCCAGATAAATGGAAAGGGAAACAAAAACTAAAAATTGATCTGCCTTCTAATTAAAATCGACCTGGTCCACCTCCCACTTCCAAGAGCACAGTTAGTTTTCTTGTCATTTATGAGGCTTAGAATTGAGCAAGACTATCGGCTGTTTGGGATTTACAATAATAGCTGCTTTCTTGCTGTTGTGAGTTTAAAACATCAGATTCTTTTAATTGGAGTTTGAGAGAAAGTAATTTGTTTTAAGCGAAGTACATGAGAACAGATACAACTGATATGGTCTCAAGATATAGTCAAAGAAGGTTGTGACCTTTGAGGAATGTAATTATTATGAGCTCATAGATCACTGCAGTGAGTGTGACAGTCCTCTTGTGGTGCCCAGCTTCCTATTTTCATAGGAGATGGTGCCTGTGAGACAACAGCATATGTGCTTCCAACACTGTTTGCAGGGTCTAAAGCCTTGCATGTCAAAAACACAGTATTTGAAATGTTCTTATCTTCTTTTTATCACTCCAAATTATGCATAACATCAATACTTCCCTTGCCGGAAGATTATTATGTTAGCATGAACAGTATGTGATAGTTGCATCCATAATGGTGTTTGGTATCAGAGTAATCCAGGCACTGAATGGGAGAGATGTCTCCGCTTGATGATTTGTGCTTAGACATATAAAGAGACTTTCAGCAATAAAGATTGAGCTTTAGTTCAATGTGAATAAACAAATGTCACAGACCAATAAAAAATAATTGTACGCCTCAATAGCCCAGTCAATGCCTTGATTATAAGTAGATTGTATAAAAGAAAACAAAAGTTGCAGCTTGCTGAGTAAAAGCTTTGTTGGAAACTAGAGAAAAAAATACAGTATAAAAATGGCTATAAAATCAAGAATGGCTCTTAATAAATGTATCTGCATCATGCCTTTGACAACAGTGAGTGATGCAGTAAAAGCTCCTCTGTTCTACAGATGTATTCATCAACAAAAGCAGAGCTCCCCCTTCTTCGTGTATAGTCAGACATTTATGACACAATAAATTGTCCAAGAACTACCAACCAAACTGAACTGAACCTCAGTGATGCACAATCACGTTTCACACTAAAACAGACTGTGAATTAAATCTGTTTGATTAAAATATTAAATTAGAAATGAAAATTAATCATCTGTTGTTTATTAATATAGCATGAGCCTAGTCGTGCAGTGTATTAGACAGACAGCAGATCTCTGCTTTAAAATAGATCAAAAATGATGCTCAAAAGTGTTGCCGACTTGTGCCACACTGTGGTCGTAGTGAGTAAAAGTTTCTCATCCTTTCACGAGCTTGACACAGGGCTGGTTAAATCGGATGTTACTGTATTGTGTTGAATAGAGAGGCCTCCTCTGTTGCACATGTTTAGCACACGATATGATTCTATGATGATTTGGAGTTTTGGAATCGATTAAAAAAAGTCAAGAATTATAATACGACCGACAAAACTGCCTCAGCTCTTCTCGTGTTTCGAGAATTTCCTAGTTTTGGAATAAACATTGGCTCCTAAGCAACCTGGGAATCCAATTCATGTCATGAACAAATAAATTAGCTAGTTCCGACCGAAGTTATCTTTTTGAATAAGTTTGAGTCTTTCACTAAAATCAACTCACCGAATCCATCAGAGATTATCAATTTGCTTTCTTGCTGAAATATGCCAAATATGCATCGTTGGCTAACGTCAGTATTAGCATTACGCACAGAGAATGGGACGGATTTGACTGAAAATGAAAACTTTTTCCCCCCATTATATTTCACTAAAGATTTTTTTTCTGGGTCTCAAGATTGGTGTTGCTCTGCGGAAGCCATTCATCAAAAATACCATTCATTAAATATTATCATTATCAAAATAGCCTTTGTCATTTGCACTCATTGGTGTCTTGTTATAGGCCTTCTGCTTTAATGGAACTCCAACAATATGTCTCTATTTTCTATGCTGTATCTTACCGTTAACCCTCTGGGCTTCCTTTAGGGTTACACGCTTCCTCCCCATCAAAAAAGACTGAAGCCTTAAAATGTAACTTTTTTTCCCCTAGGAAAACCAATAAAATACAATTTTGTTCAATAATATTTTTCTATTATTATTTAGAATTTGTAAAGATTTGAATGATACTTTGCAAGAGCTATTTTAATTTTCAATAGCTATTTTTCCATTAGAATTAATATAATTTATTTTATTATAATTTATTGATTTATTCCAATAAATGCAAAATTTCACATAAAAATTGAGTGCAGACTGCAGGCAAAAAAAAAAAAAAAAAATCAAGTGAGAAGACCGCCATCCATTGACTTTAAAAAAATATATATAAATGTGTGTAATGTCATGGCCCCTTAGAAGAGAAATTAAAAATGGCTTTCCAATTAAGGTGTGAGATGTTTGTTTTTGATTTTACTCCCACTCAAACTGTTCTTCCATTTTGTGCATATAGAGTACTACAATAGAAATAAGCCTGTGGCTTTTTGTGTATTTTATCCTCGACAATTTGTCTTGAAATGTGTATGAATTGCCTTTGGCATGATTGTTTTTGTTTAAGAACATTGTTGAATAAATGGCCTGTACATGCTCTCCTTTACCCATCCAGGCATGAAAAATATATCTTCTTTTGATTCAACAAACCTTCCTGAGCTTTCACTCACCTCATATGTTCTCAAGTGTTTTTATTAGTGTGCAAACATGTTTATGTAGCAAACAAATACATCGACAGATTCCTCCCTTTACTGGCCTTCGCAATCAGTACCTCTCTACAGTAATGGGTTGGAAGACCTGATCAATGACGCTAGGTCATTGTGTCTTTCTCTTCAGGACATTTGTGTGTGTTCACATAGGTAATACAAGTCACCAAGTTGCAACCCCTCCGATGAAGCACAAAAAATTAAAATTTCAAAAGTTAACAATTTCGGTCATTTTTGACCGAAGAAGCCCAGAGGGTTAAAATCAACTGTCTCCGTTACTTATTGCTTTATTATTATTATTCAAAACAGCTGTTTACAGAAAAATGGATGCATGTTCATTTGATAGACTTTATTGATTATGTGCACATTTTAGCATAGTAATTTGACACCATTATTAAGCTACATTGAAGATCACATCTAAGTTGCATCTGTTTGTGTAATACTACACAATTTTTAACAATATTTCTCATTTTAATAGGACTTAAGACTAATAATTCTCTATATTTGTGACTTTAATTTTATATCTTCCTTTCTTTATACAATTGGCAGGCATCAACAGACAATAAAATTCACTAAGATTCAAACAGTCAGAACAGGATAAACCGATTTAGAAATTATGACACATTTTCTTGAAATGAGATATTTCCTCTGTATATATATAAAACAAAAGTACACAAATGCAAATATGCCGAAAAACAAAAACCAAATTGTGAAGTACAAACCGCAGGCATGGGTTCCATAAGTACTGCAACATTCAAATAAATGACTGAATTTCCATTTGCCTCCAAACTTGATTGCATCAGTAATACAGTTATTCATTAGACATTCAGTAAAGCCATCATATAATATACATATCTATCCTAATTTGTAAAAACATGAACCACACAAAAGAGCTCTGAAAGTTTGCCTGAGCCACAATAATATCATGGTGGACCATCTAGATTACCACATATGTGAACCGATCAAGCCACTTACACTCATATCATCAATGGACACACTGAAGATGGCTTCTAACAACTGCAATTGTCACGTAATGGGTGAAATAAAGAACACACATCTGTTAGGTTTAGTTAACAGTGGAGATATTGCACAACCTAAATCACATCTGATTAAAGTAAAATCCTGTCATACACAAGACCCACAACGACCAACTTTTGAGGATCAAATCAAATACAGGATGTTTGCATCGTTTGTTGAGTTTAAGACCTGTACAACACTTCTATTTGGTTTAGACAGTTTACGGTACAACATTACATTATACATATATATATACACATTAACGCACCATTTGTCACAAAAGGATCACTGTGAATACACAACAGGCTGATGAGCGGGAAGCAGGGGAGGTTTCGGGATGGGTCGGGACTCCTGGAATGGCCTTGATTAAATATATTGCCTAAAACACACCAGTGTTGGGATGTCTTATCCTCACTTGTGGAAGACACTGCCAGTTCAGCTCTAAGCTCCTCGGATATGGCAAGACGTTTCAGGAGTAGTTGGTTTAAGGATCCACATTGTGTAACTAGGATCGCACCGGGACATACTATATGTGTTTTTAGTCAAAAACCCAACATGTGACGAGCATCTCCTCTAAAGTTGATCTTTTTGTGAAGTAGTTTGCTGCCGATGGCATCCTTGGCTTTGCGTTTTCCTAGGCCCCGCCGTCCGAGTGTAATGAACAAGCAGCTCCAAACACCTACATGCTCTCCTTTACCCATCCAGGCATGCAAAATATACCTTCTTTTAATTCAACAAACCTTCCTGAGCTTTTTCACTCACCTCATATGTTCTCAAGTGTTTCAGTATTAGTGTGCAAACATGTTTATGTAGCAAACAAATACATTCGACAGATTCCTCCCTTTACTGGCCTTCGCAATCAGTACCTCTCTACAGTAATGGGTTGGAAGACCTGATCAATGGCGCTAGGTCATTGTGTCTTTCTCTTCAGGACATCCCTGAGACATATGTGATTGCACAAACCATCTCTTTACCTATTCCTATCTAAGGCATATTCAACATATTGAAGGGTGTACCATGTGTGTGTTTTTATTTGTTTTTTTGGTCACGACGAGGGACGTAGGGAAAGCAGCGACAGCTTGCTCACGAAAATAAAACATCATTTTCACTACAACTACCTCATCTAGGTGCAACGACACGACACAAAGCAAGAACACCCACATGTGCGACTACGTTCTCCTTAAGTGACATGCAGTTTCAAAGTAGCGCTAACAGCCGTGGGAGGGGGTTAGTTTCAACGATGGAAGCCTGTGCAAAATTTTAACAACATCACAGGGGGACATCATTGCAAAATCCAAATCCTGCTTGTAAGCGTGTAAGTTACGTAACGATTAACCAATCGGTTACATTACAATGTGGCGCACGGGTTAAAATCATTAAATGGTGCCCCTTATTGAAACAGAACATGCTTCAAACACTTAGACGTGTTTCAGATATAATATATCTGAGAGAGTGGTGGTGGTCGATGATTTTGCAACAAAACGTCCACCAAAACATTTCATTTTCAAAAAGAATCTACTTATCGGTGACAAGTTATTCATAGGAGACTGGAATGAATAGATAAGTATCAGCACGTGTAGGTCCAGTCACTGCGTAGGTAGTGTAAAAAGGGTGTGTGTGCGCAAGTGTTTCTATGTGTGTGTTTTTTTTTTTTTTTTCACACCTTCCTCCATCAGTTGGTCTTAAACTGGGAATGTGTCTAAAGAATTCAGTTGTGTTAAAAGATTTAACTGCAATAATGCTGTGATATCTCACTTCACATTGCAATCTTTAGAAGTGCAGGCAGTGTTTTATCGATGTCGCATTGCAAATTGACGTACACAGATGTGATGTGCACCGCAAAGTGCGTTATAATTGGTCCTTTCTGTGTGTATTTGATGAGAGTGTCTGTGTTTGTGTGTTTTTCTCACTGTCTGTGTATGTGTGTGTGTGTGTGTGTGTTTGTGTGTTTATTCCACGGAGAAGAGGCTTGCAAAGGATTTCCGAAGGTTGCGGATGGTCTCAGCCTTGGCTTCGTCCTGACTAGGGCTTTGGTGCTGGGCGGCCGGCGTTTCTGGAATGTTGAATGTATTGGTAAGAGACTGGGATTTGCTACAAAGAGAAGAAGTGGCAATAAAGGAGAGGAAGAGGCTATTAAAGTCATGCAGCAAACCCATGGAGATGGCTTTATAGAGGTATGGCAGAGAAAAAAATGAATAAGCTGTGAGAGAAAGAGAGAGAATGAAATTTGTGTGCTTTCTTTTGTGTCATTTAAGAAATCATGACTCCAGTGCAATGTACATCAGCCCTTGGACTTATGGGAAATGGCATCTATGGCCACTATTCCTAAATGAAGAACCAGGTGCAGAGGCATCTCAGTAATATAACATTTTTGGAAGAACCTGCTTTATATAGAGTGCCGAAGTGATGACGTCACTTTGTAGGACAACTCGGAAGCTAGCGGCGCATTCCCTCGATCGAAAAGCTATGCGTTTTCCCCATAGAATATTGGAAAATTGCAAAAAAATAAGAGTTGTGACCCTTATACAATTTGTCTATCAAGATAATCTGTACAAGTTAACCCAGAATTTATACATTTTGAAGCCTGTAGAAAGAAAACACAAGCAGACACAATAAAGTTTAATAAAAAACACAAGCAGGTTATAACTGTGTGTTCTATGTCATAGATCAAAACGTGAAAATATTTAGAGGCTTTGTTCACCACAGACCTTATTTCAGGTGAATTAGCAAAAACCCATTCAAAAATCCCATAGGCTTTAGAGCGAGGGAACCGGGAGTGCTAAAATGCTAACTCACTTCCGCGTTTTGGCCTACAGAGTGACGTCGTAACTTCGGCACTCTATTGCGTAGTCACCTTAGAACTTAATTGAGGAATAGTGGGAATAAGATTGACAACTGCTTGACAGTGAAAATAGATCGAATGCACGTTTTCAGTCAGAAAAAAATGCAATTTCCACAATCAATGCTTGAATGGTTTGGGTGTAAGACTGAAGGAAGCCATCTTTGTTTGCATGCAAAATACCAGATCATCTAGAGTGCATACTTCTGTATCTCCATTGTTTTAATTATGCATCTGCCAATATATGTATAAGCCACATTCATCATTATTGTCAAATGTCATTTTCATTTTTGTCATCACCATTAACAAAATCTGAATATTTAAAGTAATAATAGTATGCTTTGCAAAATCTATTCAGAAGCTTTTGGATGTGTTTATCCATTCATTTAATGCTCATCTGAGTTACAAACTTGACAGTAGCCGTACACTTATAGCTGAAATATGGAATATATACTGTTTTTTAATAGCTTTGGCTAAATAAATAAAGCTAATTATATAAATAATCTTCAGGCTGTGTGAATTAGTTAAAACTACAAAGGGTATGATGGCACTGTAAATGGCTGGCAAGTCAAGGAAGGGCCCATCAGATCAATAATCTCCACCAGGTCTCTTTATATAAACAATAAACAGATACATTCTAGTGTAGGTCTGTGACATCTTTGTGTAAAAATATTGTTTTCTAATTAATAATAGGCCGCTTCATTTGAATACCGTGTGAAAATCTACTTGTACAGTCCTTACTGTCGTCAGTGTTGTGCAAGTTACTTCCAAACTGTAATACATTAGGTATTACTTGTTACTGTTATTTAAAAGTAATTCATTACCTTACAATATTACTGTCCCAGAATTGTAATGCGTTACATTACTCATGTATTACTTTTGAGTTACTTTCACCAAAATAACTAAGTAGAATTTAACTTTTGGGCTGTAACGATATGCAATATGAAACCGAAATCACGATTCGCCACATCCACGAACCTACAGAATCGCGACACACCTCTTCCAACTCCAGCGTTATTCTCCTTACCGTCCATATCCAATGCTGCCTTATCTTTAAATTAGGCTATTAGTATTATTTGAAGTTAACATTATAAAATACGTAGACCTACACCACAAAACTAGTTGAGGATAAATTATTTAAAATTGGGGAAGTCCAGCATTATGGACATGATGACATTTGCAGTCAAAACTTGAAATAAAAATTCTCAGAAAATTCATGTATTGAAACGTATATAGGCTACTTCCTTAAAGGACTCCAGACATTAGACAAATATCAGTCTATGTTTTATTTTTAATATTAAGGAAAAGACACACATTCATGCCTGACAAAAAAAAAAATAGGAGGCAAAATATATCTTTTGTAATTCTGTTAATTACACTGCACAAATCGGATGAGGAAGGGTTGGCTCTCCAGTCTCCATAGAACTTAAAATATTCATTTTATTTTAGTTTTCGTGTTCGCATTTATGAGGAAAAAACAATGTTACAGACGCGACCGCTCTGAACTGGCACTAAAAGACTGCTTTAAAACTTTCACATAGTCTGTTGCCTTTAAGAAGTAGAAGCAGACAATACACTGTAATACAACTGTAATACAAGCCTCACTGAACATGTAACGAGTAAAATATTACTGAAAATTGATTAGTAATGCCTTACACTACTGCGTTACAGCAAAAAGTAATATGTTACTGTAATGTATTACTTTTGTAATGCGTTACTCCCAACACTGACTGTCGTGCAGGTGACACTGTTTTCTAACATAGTTTGGGCCCCGCTTTTTAAAATTGAATATGTTCATTCATACACTGCCACCAGTGTAGCGCAATTCATGAACAAATGACTCAGAGTCATTTTGTTTTTTAAATGAATAGTTCAGTAATTATAGATATAGAGACCTCGGAGTCTAAATCAAATCTGCAAGTCTGCATTCATGCCCAATCAAGATATTTACTATTTATTTTAAACCATTTTTAAGTGTAATATCTTGCCCTATTAACGTCGTAAAGCCCCATGGTTTAGAACCACTGTTTTACCCTAATTCAAACAGTTATTGTCAGTCATGCCATCAGTACCATGAACTTGTCATGCGATTTGCAAATCTTATGACGTGGCAAAAGAGAATGGCCACCATCTGGTGTAGTCACTTGCATGAGTGATGAAACATCATCAATAAATGGAGAAACCTATCCATATTCTTATGAACTTTCACATCCAGTCAAATTAAATATACAAGCTTCAGGCAAATACGACGGAGGACAAAAAACATCTTACTTAAGCTGCGGAGATCCACTCAGGGCCGGGTGATCTGGACTTGGTTTCTGTGGAGGTTGGGGTTTCTGCTGCAAGGGAGGTCGTGTGCCTCCTGGGCCTCCCTGGCCCTGTGAAGCAGGCCGTGGTTGCTGAGTGGTAGGGGGGCGAGGACCGCCCTGTTGCGGAGCTGTTTGTGGGGCTTCCTGGGTTGGCTGCGGCCCACCCTGGGTTGGCTGCCTGGTTGGCTGGCCTTGTCTTGGCTGTGGTGGCCTCTGTTGGGGCTGACCAGCTGGCTTGGGACCCTGGCCACCAGTTTGAGGCCTCTGCGGCTGCTGTTGGGGACCGCCTGGCTGGGGCCTCTGTGACTGAGGAGAGCCACCTGAGCTACGTTGGGCGGGACCCTGTGCGGGCCTCTGCTGACCTGCAGACCCTTGACTGGCTTGTCGCAATGGGGGCTGATTGGGCCGGGTTTGTTGAGCAGGGGGGTTCTGAGCATTAGGGCTGGTCACAGACTGGGTTTGGGCAGGGGGCTGGCCCTGAGGAGAGGGCCGCTGCTGCGGTGGGGCTCCTTGACGGGCAGGAGTAGCGCTAACAGCTGCTTGTTGTGGACCTCCTAAAAACAGAGCAAATTTTTACAGAGCAAACACGGCTGGAATATCCACCTTATTTTGCCATACGGAAATAAGCATACATTTTATTTAAATGTGCGAGTCTTCCGATTCAAGACATTTATAATGTTACAAAAGATTGCTGTGTCAAATTAATGCTGTTCTTAGACTTTCTATTCAGCAAAGAATCTTGTAAAGATTTAGCATGGTTTCCTCAAACTATTAAGCAGCACAAAAGTTTTCAACATTTGTGACTTGTGACTGATTCATTCGTTTTCAATTTTTGAGACTTCTGAGTTATTAGCCACTGAAATGCAGTAAACTGTAATACTATTTGTGCTACAAACCCATGTGTCTGTGATTATGATAATGAATTAGAATAATACCAGTTTGGAGTTTTTCTGTTTTTGACGGGTAAAACAATTGGAAGTGGCAGACAATTATTAAAATATACAGATATAGGGTTAGTTCACCCAAAAATGAAAATTATGTCATTAGTGACTCACCCTCATGTCGTTCCAAGACCGTAAGACCTCCGTTCATCTTTGGAACACAATTTAAGATATTTTAGATTTAGTCCGAGAGCTTTCTATCCCTCTATTGAAAATGTATGTACGGTATACTGTCCTTGTCCAGAAAGGAAATAAAGACATCATCAAAGTAGTCCATGTGACATCAGTGGGTTAGTTAGAATGTTTTGAAGCATCAAAAATACATTTTGGTCCAAAAATAGCAAAAACTACGACTTTATTCAGCATTGTATTGTCTTCCGGTTCTGTTCTAAATCCACGTTCAGTGACGCTAATGACGTAAGACACTGCTGATGTGTTATCAGTGCGCCCGAGCTTCGTTTACAGTCTGAGGGAGATCCACGCTGTAAACAAAACAATCTTCGCACACATGTCTAAGGATTTCGACACTGAGGAAGACTTGCATTTTTTTGCCCAGCCATATTTATTTTAACCGGAATACACGGACGCACCAGATACACGTCAGCAGCATCTTATGTCATCGTCACTGCGGACTCGTGAACACGGATTGACAACAGAACCGAAAGACAATACAATGCTGAATAAAGACAAAATGTATTTTCGATGCTTCAAAACATTCTAACCCACTGATGTCACATGGACTACTTTGATGATGTCTTTATTTCCTTTCTGGACAAGGACAGTATACAGTACATACATTTTCAATGGAGGGACAGAAAGCTCTCGGACTAAATCTAAAATAATTTGTTCCGAAGATGAACGGGGGACTTACGGGCTTTGGCCGACATGAGGCATTAATGACTTCATTTCTTTTTTGGGTGAACTAACCCTTTATCAGAGACTTACCATGTCATTTCAAACCTGTATGACCTTGTTCTGTCTGCTGAATGTCTAAGGTGTACTGTGATTTGTACCATATAGGCCTGTTCACACTAAAGGAATCTTGTCATGAAAATTCAGTGTGATAACCATTTCAATTTGAATCAACGGCTGTTAATGCATCTGTTCAGACCGACACAAAAATGTGCATGCCATCAGTGAGGCCATTTTTTTATGGAAAGGTCACATAAAAAAAATTAGCCAACCAATTTTGTGATTTTGGCCAGATTTGGTCTCATGCGACTAGCCGATTATTGTACATACTGTAAAACTATGACTATGAGTATTTTGTGTAAAATACTGTATGAAATACTTTTAGTATTTTGATGAAAAAACAATGAATAGTAGAGATTAATATATTGAGCAGCTCTCGTCTTTTGGTGTTGCTTGATAAATGCCATGTAATGCAAAAACAGAATTGCTCAAGTTTGCATGTAAATATTGTCTTTCAAAAAAAACTATTTACTTAATTGCTGCATATCACTTGGTCACTTGGTCTTATGGTGGACAATTAATTCAGTTAAGTTTGTCTTCATAATCTTTAGTAAAGATCTGAGTACATTATTAATTTTTAAATGCAAATGAGATTTGAAAGCTTTGGGGAAGGTGGAGTAAATAATAACTTAAATTTTAACTTATCCCCCGATTAGCTATTGTATGACTTCATAAGACTTATAAGTTGAATGTACTACGTATACCATATAAGTTACGGTGCACTATGACCTTTTTGGTGAAATGCCGTAAAAATCCATTTTCATATTTTGTAAAACTGCAGCATAAACATTCTCGTGAGGATTTCTCCTTATATGTTAAACGCAAGAATGAAAGTCAAACAGGTTAGGAACGACACAAAGGTAAGTAAATGATGACTGAATTTTCATTCTCGGTAAACTATCCCTGTAAAGGTTGGCTTCATTATTGCAATATTGTAATCCCTTACCCTGTGGAGGAGGGCGCTGTTGTGACTGTGGCACATTCGATTGAGAGACGGGTTGAGGTGAAACAGCCGGGCCCTAGAATATAAAACAGACATAGTGAGGGATATACAGTAGAGTATATCAGATAATACCATTCAAAACATACAGAAACAGAACGCTGGCCTCCATGAGTTTTCAGTGCAAGTTTTAGTATTTTTCAGAACATGTTTAGCCACTTTTATTTTTTAAAACAAGTGAATGTTCCATCACAAATAAGACCTATTAACAGCTGTAATGTCAAAATTTGCTGAACAGCATTCTTGAAAAAATTAATTAATGGCTGATGTAGACAAAACATGCAGTCATTAATCTTCAGGCAATCAGTTTAGCACAAATGTGGAGGGAGTTAAACCAAGTGATTTGATGCAGAGCGGTGATGAGAGATGTTGTTTGAGTCCCTAGCTTATGCATTAAAAGCATTACTCACTCTTATTCTCTCCCATCTGTGTGACTATGAATCATTACAATCACGGCTTTGGAGGAATGGAGAAAAGCAGCCTCTGCACTGCAATCTAAATTGACAATAATAATGACTGATGTGTGGAAACTAAACCATTTCAATGTATTATTCAGCAGAATAGCACTGCTTTTTGCTGCATAACCAAAAATTACAGCTTGCTTGTATGCATGTTTTTAGGTCCATATGCCATATACATTAGGTCCATCAGGCAATAGCAACCACATTCTCATAGCGCTAATCATTAAAATGTAGTCTTTGATTTTGCATAGAGCAGAGATTTTTCAAAATCTCACATGAGAATAAATTTTCACATGAGAAAAAAAAATATTCTGTTTCACACAAATGAACAAGGGCATGATTATTCATTAATAAATGCTTATTTTCTCACAGTATATGTTGTAACAAAAAATGCGTTTACTATAGTGCATTATTTGTAAACTAATTTGATGATTTCATCACATAACCAGCTCCATATAAATGGCTTTTCTGAAGTAGTAAACTTGCTCAGTAGCTGAACTAGTACAGCCACGATAAAAGAGCTGAAAGACTTGTTGAAGCAAGCTAAAATAGCATACATTTTTCTCATATTTGCTTTAAAGACAATGTGTTAGGTTTATGGTAGGGTTCAAATAGCCGCAACAATATTTTCCAAATGCATTAAAACAATAACTTTTAGCTTCACTCACTGGATATTTCATTTCCAAACTGCCACGTTACATACAACAACCAACGTTACCAGATGCACGTTCATCTGTTTTGGATAAAACTGAACTCGCTTTTTGCACCACTCACTGGTCATTTCACTTTTACCGCTTTTCCACCCAAAAAGAACTGGTTCGGAACTGGTGCTGGTTCAAAGTTGGTTCGGAGTTGGTTCAAACCCGTTCAGAACCTGTTTGTTTTTCGACTGACTAGAGCGCCCAGGGAAGGACCTCGTTACGTCACTGTGTACGTCGCTAGAAACGCTTGCAAGTACAATATTACCAGTGTTGTGCAAGTTACTTCCAAACTGTAATACATTAGGTATTACTTGTTACTGTTATTTAAAAGTAATTCATTACCTTACAATATTACTGTCCCAGAATTGTAATGCGTTACATTACTCATGTATTACTTTTGAGTTACTTTCACCAAAATAACTAAGTAGAACTTAACTTTTGGGCTGTAACGATATGCAATATGAAACCGAAATCGCGATTCGCCACACGATTCAGATCCACGAACCTACAGAATCGTGACACACCTCTTCCAACTCCCAGCGTTATTCTCCTTACCGTCCAGATCCAATGCTGCCTTATCTTTAAATTAGGCTATTAGTATTATTTGAAGTTAACATTATAAAATACGTAGACCTACACCACAAAACTAGTTGAGGATAAATTATTTAAAATTGGGGAAGTCCAGCATTATGGACATGATGACATTTGCAGTCAAAACTTGAAATAAAAATTCTCAGAAAATACATGTATTGAAACGTATATAGGCTACTTCCTTAAAGGACTCCAGACATTAGACAAATATCAGTCTATGTTTTATTTTTAATATTAGGGAAAAGACACATTTATGCGTGACAAAAAAATAGGAGGCAAAAACGATTTTTTGTAATTCTATTAATTACACTACGCAAATTGGATGAGGAAGGGTTGGCTCTCCAGTCTCCATAGAACTTAAAATATTCATTTTATTTTAGTTTTCGTGTTCGCATTTAAGAGGAAAAAACAATGTTACAGACACGACCGCTCTGAACTGGCACTAAAAGACTGCTTTAAAACTTTCACATAGTCTGTTGCCTTTAAGAAGTAAAAGCAGACAATACACTGTAATACAACTGTAATACAAGCCTCACTGAACATGTAACGAGTAAAATATTACTGAAAATTGATTAGTAATGCCTTACACTACTGCGTTACAGCAAAAAGTAATATGTTACTGTAATGTATTACTTTTGTAATGCGTTACTCCCAACACTGAATATTACTATGGGATTATCTCTAACTCGTGTACCAAGAAGGCTTTAAAAACAATTGAAATATGTACAGTAAGTCTTTTAATCTTTTCGTTTGATATGTAATCTTTTTTGATAAGTTATGTACCCCTGTCTTGTGTCTTTTTTTCTTTCCATTTATTTGTTCTATATCGTGACTGTTTTCTTCTTTGCTTATCTTTCAAATTAAAAAAAATAAATAAATAAAAACGCTTGCGCCAACTTCAAGCATAACAATTATAAAGGCGGACTCCATCGTGTTTCTGCAAATGTTTCTCCTGGCTTTGCGATCCTATATTATGGTCAGAAAAGATGTTTAGAACACATCTAAACCCGCCCCCAGCCCCGACGTAAGCATGACGTGGTAAAAGAACGGTTTTAATCCAGAAAAGAGTTGGTGCCACTTTGGAACCAGTTTTCCCGGCCGAGAACCGGTTCTTTGGCTGTTGGAACACAAAGAACTGGTTCGCGTGCAGGCACCGGCTGCGAACCGGTTCTCGAAATGCTTTGGTGGAAAAGGGGCTTTTGAGAGTGTCATGAACCAGAATTCAGAATATTTTGGAGAAATCTTTTCTTTCTTTTTTTTCAATGAGCCTGGGTTGAGAATATACGAGTATGTTTTGAAGCAAGTGTGTTAACCTGAGAACGAACTGGAGTGGGAGATGAAGTGTGCAGCATGGTCTGGTTCATTTTAGCCACAACAAGATCAGCCATTAGAGCCCGGTCTTCATCCTGCTGGTCTCCTATGAGAGGCATTGAGCAGCCCACCACCTGATAGACACACACACAAATCATTTGCCTGAGGCACTAAGGATATTTCATAGTTATTTTGAAAGCTGCCTGTTTTTGTAGATGTTATTACCTCTATGATGTAATCTCGACCATCTTTACCATGCAATGCTTCAACAGCGCATATATCAAGACCCCCGAAAACCTCAGAGCATACGTCCACCCACATACGATATCTACAGAGGAAAAAGTGCAAATGATGACCTTGTGATTCCGCTAAAAGCATCCACCCACTGACAACACACTGCCCAGAGTAAACTAGGGATTCAGGATTACTGCAGGGCAGGACATTAATATTTGACTTGGTGTGATCGACTGTTTTAATTGAAAAGCCTCTTACAGCAAACTAAACTGATTTTTGTTTGAAAAAAAATTCAGTTCCAAGAAGAATGTGCGATATTTATTTGGTGTAACTTTTATAATTTTTTATATTTAAATGACTTTTACATCTCTATGATAATTAGGGCTGCATGATTAATCGAAATAAAAGCAAAATCGTGATATGGCTTGTGTGTTTATCAACTTGCAAAGGCTCAGCCTTTAATTTAATTAAATAAATATATGAGCTTCGTGTTTCACAGCTGAACCTAACCTAACTAACTAATAATGATGTGCGACCAAGGAGAAGGAAGACAGGCAGGAACTCAACCAAGGGAATACATGTAAAGAATAACGAACTAAAAGTCTAACAGTACATGCCACTCCGACCAGGCGTGACCATGCGCTGTAAAAGCAAGGGGGTTTTAGAGGTGGCGAAGGTGTGGTGACAGTAGGTGGCGGCAGAGGAGTGGTGATGGGAAGATAATTATCCCCTGGCAGCGATGGTGGTGGATGGCCGATGGCCCGGACCCAATGGTGTCTGGGAGGTCAACAGGATGATAATAATTTTCCCCTGATTCAGAACAGTGACTTCAGGGTCTCATCGTCGTAGGGGCAAAAAATTCCATTTAGCAAAAACAAAAAGGTTATGACTCATACGAGCCACTGCAGCGAACTGAGCTGCATAGTTTGGGTTTGGGTCTGGTATTCTGTAACGCTAAGGTAACAGCAGATAATATGCGGAACAGGGTGCTACCCGAGACACGAACAATACAGGACAGACACACTAAGGGCCTGTTTACACGAGAACCCTCGCGGGTGAAAACATAAAAATATTTTATCGGATGTGCCTTTCGTTTGCACGGCGACGGCGTTTTAGGGGCTTAAAAACGCAAAAAAGTGAAACCACCCTCCAGATTGGAAATCTTAAAAACGCTCCACCGCCGCGTTCCCATGTAAACGAGCCACCAGGAGTGCATACTACGTTGCAATTCACACTCTTTTGCGTCACCATATGCACATGGATTTCCCGCCAAAAATTCTTGTCGAAACACAGAATAAAAAGTGATAGCGCAATGCCATTTTCTTTTCAGAATCGTTTCCGTGTAAACATAGCCTGAGTGACCAGGAAGAACATACACAATGATGATAATTAAACACAGCTGAACCAAACTAACGTATAATGATGAATATTAACATATTCTTCTCATATTATAAGAATTAACATAACAGAACCTAACCGTGATACATGGAGCAAACAAAGAGCTTTTTTTGTTCTTATTTTTGCATTATTACTTTGTTTATTTATCATTTAGCCTAATAATAATACAATCCTCTTGCAAATCTTATTGAGTTGTCTTGCTGTATACATAGACAGCTGCTTACTGTATCCTAACTAAAATGGAAAATCAGTAGTGGCTTATTTGGAACATTTAACGTTTAACAAAGCAACTACTGTGAAAAGCACAGGAGACACCAACGTACAATTGATTGATAATTAAATCATGAGTGTATTATTTTATGTTTAACATATCTATTGCACCATTCGCCATGTTGAATAAAAATGCAATGCTGCCATGAAATGCTATCTTACCATTTAATGTCTCATAATGCTGTGAGTCAGCTATTAGCATATGCATAATAAATAACATGTTAAATTAAGCAAAATATGTCATTTTTAGACATCTAATAAGGTTATCCGATGTCATGTTATTGGTTCTGTATAATATGCCTTGTATCATGGCAGAAAGAACATCCTTTAAGCCTTGCGTACCTGTCAGACATGGCCACCTGCTCTAACATGGCTGATCCTGTGTTGGTCTTCCAATTGCCAGATATAGATGTCCTCCTGTCCAATAAAACAACAGCAAACTGTTTCAAAATCAGTTCCTAAGATAATACTAAAACCATAGATTATATCATGCCGTTGAGAACAATAATGTAGTTGTAATCTCTTACATGTATGCCTTGTAATTGTCACCGATTTTCTGGATTCGGATGTCATACTTGGCGTCGATAAAAGGTTCAGAAGTGGCATATGTCTTTGTCAAAGCCACAACACTAGCAATGTCTTGAAAATCATATTGATTGTCCACTTTGACCTGGACAGAGAATTTAAATTGCACTGATACTGCTATAACCATAAAAAGACCAAACGGGCCATACAATAATATAGATACAAGTAGTATAAATACAATGTAATGAATGAATTAATTCAATTTGTATCATATATTCTAAAAAAGCATTTCGGTCATACCTTTCCCATACCAGAGTGAGCATGACCCATCTTCACTACCACAGGAAAGCCAGGTGTAGTGATCTAATGACAAGAGATGATTTAAGACAACAAGATATTTTTTAAGAAACAATACTTTTATTCTTCAAGAATGCATTAAATTGATCAAAATGCCTTACATATATACATATATAATAATGTAGTGTATATATAACACATAATGGTGACCATAAGAATTTATCGAATCCTACCCATACCATTACTCAACCATGTTCTTATTGCAAATGTTAATAAACAATACCGGGCTGATATTTTTATTATCCAACTGAATACTTTAGGAGAAAACGACACCAAAATCAAGTTGGTTTACTTGTTCATGTACATGTTGTATTTGCAGTCGTAGTGCTGCTTGATAGGCATCTATTGCTGCAGTTGGAGAAATGTAAGAGCATCTTCCTGCTCAGGCACAAAATAAGCCCACAAAATGATGTCTAAGTCTGCATTATCTTAGATAAAGACCAGCGAGAGAGGAAAACATTCTGGCACAGTGTGTGTCTGGGATCATTTTTGTGTAAAGATGCCTGCAGTGCAGGAATAGGAGGAGGTGGTGGCACTGCAGCAAGCCTCCCTCTCCTTTTAAAACCCTGAACTATGTCTATAAGAACACAATTATACTAGTCTGAGATTTATCAAATTTCCAGTCTAGACAGAGCCAAGTTGGGTGGAGCAATGCTGAAGTAGGGCACTGAATATGCATGAGCCCTGTATATTTTACTATTTACTGCATCCAGACACCGCTGACACTGACACAGATGGGAGCTTTGTACTGGCTCCAGTGGGACGTCTAGAGCCCTATAGATCAGGGTTTACTGTTGAGAAGGACAGAGACAGATGGTTAAACACTCACCATCTCCTTGTGGTTGGGGTAATAAACCTGGTCAATCAGTGGGAACTCCTCTGGACCCAACTGCTTGTACAATCTGGACAACTGAGCGAACTGATAGATGCATGGCGACCCGCACACAAACATACATGCATACACATAGAGACAAATATTATGCAGCAATAATTAATGTCATTCATTAGTAAAACTGTGAGGATTTTTGCTTGACCTTTTAGTTGTCAAATTAACTTTCTTAAAAATCAATCTGATTCAGGCCAATTTGCAATATGAATTATTCAATCTGATTTGTGAACCAGCTTGACCCAATTCATAATAAATATCAAATTTAAAAAAAGAAACGATTTATATATTTCTGACAATACAAAAGCAGTATAAAGCCAATTAACTTTTTAGTGCAGAGCGTCAACTCCTGGACTTTAAAGATTTTATTTATTTTAATAATTTTTCCACGGCTGCAAGTTTAATTTTCTTATGAATGGTATGTTCAAATACATGAATATTTCCTATTTTTGGATTTATAAGAACATCCTTAATTTGCTGAGTAGTATGGATTGATGTGTGTAGTGCTCACCACCCATGGTTTGTCACAGAAGTTGTAGACAGAGTGAAGGGAATTGACACTGGGCAGACCAGCATACTGAAGTCCAATCACAATATTCCTGTGGTCGCCATTCTTGGCCATGCTGAAAGCATGCTGTCGCACCATCACAAAATCTGGCTTGAAACACCTAAATGACCACGGAAATGTTGGTAATTAATCATCTATCTATCTGTATAGAGTCTATATATAGAATGCACAGTAAATGTAGTTTCTTCGACTAATCATCTTGACTGCTGCTCTAAAAATTCATAACATACATTAATTGTTCTCCATACATTTTTTATATATCTATATTTGAATGCAAACTGAATTAGACAAAGTAAAACCCACTTAATTACATGGTTTATCAGTGCAATAAAGAAAACTTTCTGGAAGAGCTTTAAACAAATCTGAAACCTACTTTGTGATTTTGTTGCCATTGCGAATGGCCTCAATGTCCACACTATAGCTTCCCGTTGCGTGAGCCACCAGATTGACCTCTGAGAATTCAGCCTTGAAAATCAATGGAAATCACCAAATGGATCAATGTGATCAATAAAGTGCTGTTGTCAAAGCATATACACTAAAACAGCACCTGAGGCCTGTGATGGGTTACCATTGTGGTTATTATAAAACAACAAAAAGGGCTTTTTAGAGACTATGCATATTTTCTTGTAACACAAGATTTCTTACTGACATCATTAAAATACGAACTTAAAACTTAAATATGTAATTGTTAAAAAAGATTGTGTCGAATCGTTTTGTATTTCTGTCTGGTATTCCAGTATGTTGTCTAAGTCTTACATAAATAATAGTGTTAATAACATAAATGTAATAACAGTATTACAAACAAAACTCCATATCATAATGCAAGCAGTTGTTCAATAAAATGTTTACTTTTTGTTTATTGTAAAGCTGCTACCAAGATCTTATTTAAAAGGATATTATTCATTGACAGAACAGATTAATTTTCTTTTATCCTCCTCAAGAATAGACTATATCTTGCATTTCATTACTAGGGACAGTTTTGATGAATTTCCCATTTCAAAAACACAAACAAATGACACTGAAAAAATGACAAAGGGCCCTGTAATGAAATTTCCTCCCAGATTGATGACAACAATCTTTAGCCAGTTAATGTGTTTTGGCAACATCTAATTCATTACACAAGCACATTGTTGAGTTGTACTGCTCCGGTAGTTTGGAAGAATAAAAAAAAAAAAAACATCCTACCTGTTCTACTTTAATGTCAAATTCTCCATGAACCTTCTTCCCTCTGAACACCTTTGCCCTGTAGGAAGAATGATCAAAAAAGAAAGAACATATACTCTTGAGAGTCATAGTTAACAAAAACACTTAAACTGTATCCAAACTGGATTATGCAACAGTGAAATGGTGTGAAAATTATGTATTGCAAACATGTATGAAGCATGAATTCTTTGAGAAGGGGGAGAGGAGTTGTGTTTCAATGTCTGAAACTGTTTTATGCTTTGCGTCCCAAACTGTCATAATATTTCTAAATTTATATGCTACTATTATACTTTTTTAACCTAAAAAAAACACATTATTGTCCTGTAAATCTTGTATGTTTATACACAGAGACATACAATTTAAGTATAGTGCTGATCACATGAAATAACTGGTAACACTTTACGGTAAGGGTACATGAATTATCATGAATTCATGTATAAATTAATGCATGAATTATGCATTCATTAATATCTCATGAATCATCATCAGGAACTAACACAAGTTCAATATTTTTCATTCATGACTTCATGAATGAACAACACCTTAATTAAAACATTAACTAAGATGAGCACATCATCATGAATAATGATTTATTACGCATGATCATGATGTTTTCTTTTTGTTCTTTGTCTAGGTCCGTGACCTAGTCACCACTTTAGTGCTTTACACATTAATGCTTGACCACTGTATTGGACAGACACCATAATAGACCAATCACAGCTCATGGCACACAAATTCTGTGTTAATCAAATACAGAAGTCATCATTAACTAAGCATTATCTATCAATGACTTCATCATGTGTGTGGCCCCTCAACTAAAGTGGTGACTAGGTCCTTTGAAATAGTGATATTAATGGTGGGATAAGAAAACATCATGATCATCCATAATAAATCATAATTCATGGTGATGTGTGTATCTTAGTTAATGTTTTAATTAAGGTGTTGTTCATTAATGAAGTCATGAATGAAAAACGTTGAACTTGTGTTAGTTCCTGATGATTTATTCATTATAACTCATGTACCTTTGCTGTAAAGTGTTAACAAATAACTAAACTAATTACCCTATGTTCATATATTCCATGCAGTTTTGGTTTTTGGTCACTAAATAAATAAATAGATATATGATGGATGGAAATGTTGTTTCCAAAAAGCATATGAAATTAAGTTTTTGATGTTTTTTTATTCTAGTAAATGTGTCACTAGCCCTCAGAGGAAAACTGAGAGAAATATCACACACATTAAAATTGTAATGACACATCAATCACCATGTGAGATTCCTTGGATCGCCATACTAGAAGAAACCTCTCGAGAACCTCCATCCTTCCTTGAAAAGCACAGTTCTCTGAGGAATCCATAAGTTCTTACAAGAACCCTAAAGCCTGGCAATCCGTTAACCTCATTATAAAGGATAGGGTGGCACTTGACATATATATTTCTTGAAAATATATTTAGTTCCTTCCTTGAGTATAAGACATTTGATCCACCCTGGCAACAAGAGTTCCTAGAAGTTCTCCAAATGGTTTTACTCCAAAAGTGCCTCAATCACCTTGTCATTTTCAAAGACTTGTGACAACATCACTTTTTCACAAGCAGAGCCAGTCTGAAACCCAACAACACGGGACCTTTGAATCTGGACTCAACAGCTAATGTAATCTCACTGCTTCTCCATTAGCTGTCCCAGGCTGAATAGTGTAATGCGCACAAACGCACGCGCGGGCACACCCACAACAATACGGTCGCGCGTGCCAGAAAGGCCCATAGACTAATGAGTCACGACGTTTGGATAGTGACTCCTTTTGGCCTGTATTAGCAAGAGCTACACCCCAGGTGTGCGAGTATGAAACAATCACCTCAGATACTCTCAAATAATCTGTTCAGAAAACTCCACGCCATTACGTCGTATTCAAAACGCTGTGATTTCCTTAGGATCTTACCAGTCTGTCTGCTGGTCATCAATGACCAGGAGGATCTTGGCGTTGCTCGAGCCGATTCCTCTCTCGGTGGCCTCGTTAAAGGTGGCGGCCGCGGCTGCGGTGGTCTGTTTGACGGCGTTGGAAATGGAGGAAAAGAAGCCGGCGCCCGTAGACTGGCTGGTGGATTGACGCCTCTCTTGAGAGACTGGCGAGACCTCCGGGCTGGGCTCTGCTGCGGCGGATCTGGCCGCTGTAGATCGCCCATGTAGCCATTAGGCAAGTTTGACATGAAATTACTGTCCGAGAGTCGACGTCGCAGGTAATTCATGTTGAATATGGAAAGGTATCCGGCGGTAAATTACCTCCCTGTAGGTTCTGCACGGCAATAAAAAAAAAATCCAAGACGAATGGAAAACCGATTAACTATCGGATATCTAGGATGCAAACGAGTGTTTCAGTTTAAAAACGAGACGCAAAAACGAGTCGATACGCAATTCTTCTGGCTGCACCTCAAAAAGCAAAGGTCGTGCTTCACGCATGCAGAGCAGCACTGCAACAAATGAAAGATATCAAATCAACGCTTTGAGTTCACTATTAAATATGCATAAATAAATGGTCGTAATCATTGTGTTTGGTTGACTTACATCACTGAGAAGCTTGTTCAACACTTGGCATTACGATATCAAGCTCCTTCCATTTATGTTGATGATGTTTGGATCCTAATCCACGGGCGTGGAGAAAAAACAATCCTAACGAAGAGGCACTTGTTCAAAGTGTGCTCGCTCGGTGAAGGTAGTAATTGTCATATATGAAAATCGGTGAGGCAAAATCTCCGGCCAGATTCTCTGTGAACCGGTTGGGGCTTCGGAGGATGCAGGGATTGCATCACTCGTGCCATCCAATCCTTGTAATCCGCCCAGTGTTTTCCCCTCGTCGTTTTTTCAGACCCATCACCGGTTTCTCCCGTTGCGCACGTACTTTACGCACGGGACAGGTCCGGGATGTAATTGTTTAGATGCGTATGATGAATGGGAAGGAAAGACGAGTTTGGCATGTGCTTGTGTTCATTTTAAAGAAGAGAGAGACATCCATTGGACATCATTGGCAGTGAGTGATGCTGCCAAGCGATTAAACAGCTTGTAACAAAAAGGATGTAGGCTCAAACTCTGCAGGTGAACTGTCACCATGGTGCCCTTGAGCAACACACCTAAACCATGTTGTCCCTCAGGACTGTCCTTGTACATTATAGGGTGCTGCAAGTAAGAACAACCTCAGACAATTGACTATTAATTATGGGGTTTGTCTTGAATATATTACAAAAATTAACTTGCTAATAATTTTGTTGTAGAATGATGGTGGAGTGTCAGAAATGATCTTTTTTTTAAATCAAGGGCATTTTTGCATCTTAAAATTGATTTTAAGGGACACTTGAAATAGAAGACATAAAAGGTTATAAAAACTGAAGAATTCAGGTTTGTCTCTACTCTGTAAACATTTGATTTTAGGTATTTTTGTCACTTTCTGTTGCATTTTTGTTCTTAACCCTGGTTAATTTCTGATCCTGATGCCAATTTGATATTATAATTGTATAGTTTTGCATATTATGATGATTATTTTTATTTATTTAATTGGAGACTTTCAAAATGCAATTTTCATCTTTGAAAAGCAAGGATGGGTTTTCAGTACTCTGGACAGTTCTTGAGGAAATCCTCCTTCCTGTATCTGATTTCAGTACCATGGACAGTGAATCTATAATGTTGCCGTTAAGAGAGATAGGAGATAGTTGTCACACTTTTTTCATTTTGAAAGTCAATTTCTGTATAGTCACATACTTTAAAGTGGGAATGAAATTAAATTGTAATCTGTTTTGTCTGTGTGACAAATAGACTGACTTTCAAATGGAGAAATGTTTTTTGCAACACAATATATTAACAACACATACTGGCATGTTTTTACATCTTATTGTTTTTCATTTTTTTTTGTTTACCTTTTGACCTCGTTAATTTTTAATCAAAAATGTCAGAACTTGATTTTTGGAGCGTATGTCGAATTCTCCATTCACGGGTCTGCATAAACTTTCTTACAATTGCCAAGCTCGCATTTAGATCTTCCTTCAGCCAATCATTAACTGTTGGAGAGAAC